GTTTTTCAACAGGATGAGAAACATGGCAGCTCTCAGTAGAAGGCTTAAATGTGGATCTATGTGAACAAATTCAGTGAGGAACTAGTTGTTATAGATAGTAATTTTATATAATTAATTGAATTCTGCATAGGATTGTTTGTAGTCATAGGTATTTGACTATGTAAATGTCATTTTACATGATTACATTTCCTGTAGTCATTTGCTTTGGTATGTTTAGACATTAATCAAATTGTGCCATCTTCTGATGTAAAATAGTTATCAGTACTTTGGGTTGCATACAAGATTCTCTTCTTCTGAGGAAGGAGATATTTGAATTGAATTCCTTTTTGTGATTAACATTGTTACAATTAAATATATTACCTAAAGCATTTGTAAGTGCAGTTCAGAGAGTAAGGCAAATCAAGGTTAATTTGAAATTCATTCATTGACATCCTGTGGCACACTTACACAAGTGGCTTAACTTTCAGACATAGGTTATCATAAGTTAAGAAATCTCCATAGACATTATGTGTCGCATGCCGAGTGGTGCAACTCAGTATGCAACTGATAATGTCAATGAGATTTCTCAATTTACAGCAGTTTGCTTGCCTATTCCAAATTCACTACAACTGGCACATAGTTATCAAGTTATTATTGCACTGTAAACTGGCAAGGTAAAAGGTGAATCTCATTTTGTGCATGCATACTGTCTTTCTTCTGGGACTAATCCAATGATCTTTTGAAATATGTAATGTGTTTTGACTGTTTTGGATGGAATACAGCTTTCCTCTAAAATCCTTAATAGCAGTACTGTATCTGTAAATCCAGGATGTCTGTTGTTTATTCCTGACAAATATAATGGCAATTCCAAAAGACAATTCTTTACTACCCCTGTATTTGTTTTCTCTTTTTAGAAAGGGACTTTTGGGAATTATGTAATAAGTGTAATATGATGAGACCAAAACGTTCCCACCACTGCAGCCGATGTGGACACTGTGTTAGGAGAATGGATCATCATTGTCCGTGGTAAGATGAGCTTGGTTTACTCCCTCATCACATTTTCTTCTGCTACATTGATTTCTAATTTTATAACCATGACTCATTATGCTTTCCTAGCACTTACGTACTTCGTCTCAATGATATTGCTATAAAATCAGGAACACCCCAAAAAGTGATGTCCAGAGATGAGATGTAAATTTTTGTTTTGAAAATTAAAGGCTAAATTTTGGAAATGGAACATTAACCCTCATGTACAACATTTTAATTCCTCAGAAGCACATTTTGTTGCAGAATTCACATGGAAGGTAGGCATACAATGCTGTAGAAATTAAAATAAAGTTATTGTTGAAAATGTAAAAAAATTGAGGTTACAAACTATGGCCCTACATGTCAGCCACTTGCCATGTTCAGTTTAAAACCTTAGCAAGCAAACAAAAAACATCTGGGACAAAAAATTGTATCAACACATTTGTTGCTTTTTACCATTGCAGTACTTTTTGGCATTCTCACTGAGTATAAGAAACAAGAGATATACATAAAACTTTCTCATTAACTGTTAACTCAGAAAAAACTGGAATCTTGACTGCATCATAAAATAACCCAGAGGAATTAACTAAGTAGCAGTTTTTATGGTGCATGCGAGTTAATGCTAGACTACAGAACTGAATAACATCAATATTGTATTTCTAAGATATATGAAAAAAATTAACCATATAATTCTATAAAGAAGCCAAAATCTTCCTTAAGGTTAGCAGCAGGAAGAGCAAAATATCTTGAGGTTTTTTTGTACTGTATTTCTAAATTATCTTCAAATATTCATATAGCTTTGTTAATGTTTAGATTTGTTTCTATTTGTTAGATTTGTAGAGGATTACAATCTAAATTGGAAAAATCATTTAATTATAGAAGAGAGGAGTGTAGTTTTTCATAAAAGTAAAGTTGAATGGATTATGCATAACTTGTGTTCTCTTCATGCTTAGGAAAAAAAATTGAATGTAACCATTTATTGTAGGTGGGGAATTTTTTTCCCTTTATCTCTATCAATGTTTCCTCTGTGGTACATGCAGCTGAGCTGGTGTTTTCATCCATTTGCTTCTGGTCACTACTGGAATCCTGCATGCTGGGGGAGGGGAGCCTCGATGCAGCACTATGGAAAATTAGAGGGAGTGTTGATCTATACAGTGGTGCCTCGCTTAACGAGCGCACCGTATAACGAAGAATCCGTATAGCGATCCCTTTTTGGGGATCGCTATACGGAGCTGCCCCAATCGCCGCACTCGCCGCACTCGGACCAGCAGAAACATCGCTGGAGGGGTAAGTTTTGGTGCCTATTGGAATGCATTAAACTAAGTTTAATGCGTTCCAATAGGCTTTTCCTGCCCCGTACAGCGATGTTTTCGCATAGCGAAGGTTAATCCGGAACGGGTTAACCTCCCTATGCGGCTAAGATGAGCCCAAAACTCAGCCAGGCCCTGCACTAAATCTCTTTCCTCAAGTCCATCCCCTTTGTTAAGAAAACACAACCAAACCATGAGTTAATACTCAGGTGAAATATGGGCTCGGTGGTAGCAAAATATTTGGCCAATTAACCAGGCTATTCTGTTCAAGAGACCAAAACATGAGATCTTAACCATTACTGTTTTTATTAAGAAATATAGCTCTAAATAGAATTCAGTTTATTGCAAAGTAAATCAGTTAATAACATTTCCAACCAAGACATCTAAATCACCCCTCAAACTACAGCTAGGAAAAATAAAGCAAGAAATGCATACTAAGCTAGAATAAAGTAGAGGCTTAGCCATCCTTCTCTTAAGGAAAAGGCATTCTTACGTATCCAGGGATTCCATAGTCCATCAGGAAAGGTAGAATCCAATTGTAATCCATGTTAGGAAAAAGGCTTCATTTCAGGAGTTAGAATCCATTTTGGGAAAAAGGCTCTTCTCTGTCTTTCTCAGTCAAACTCCATTTTACAACTCACCCCCCTTCTTCTTCCTCCACAGGATGACCAATTAGGAACAAGCAAAAAGTGTCTTGTCCCGCCTAAGTTTCTCATGAGAATCTTGCAGGTGCAAGGGCTTGTTATGACTACAAATATCTCAGCTCTCCAGCCATCCTAGCAACGAGATAAGGCTAAGAGCTATGCAGTTGAAAACAGCATGTGAAATCCCTGTTACAGACACAGACATTAATTCAAAATGGATGCCATTAGGACAGTCTTATAACTACATAAACCATTCTAGCAAACACACAAATAACTTCAAAAACACATATCATTACAGTCCCAGTTCCTGCCAACCTAGCAGTTTTAAAGCATGTAAAAATGCGAGTAGATAAATAGGTACCTCCTCGGTGGGAAAGTAATGGCATTCCGTGTCTAGTCGCGTTGGTCACGTGACCACGGAAACTGTATTTGGACAAACGCTGGCTCTATGGCTTGGGGACGGGGATGAGCACTGCGCCCTAGAGTCGGACATGACTGGACTAAATGTCAAGGGGAATCTTTACCTTAGTCAGGGTGGATTTGATTTAAATTGATTTATATCATAATTTAAATTTTAAGAAATGGATTTTTTGACAATTTAAATTTAAAAAACAGTTTTTTATTTAAATCATGATTTAGATCAATTCGATTTTTTAAAAAAATCATTCATTTTTATCCACCCTGGATCTAGTAGCATGGTTGAAAGTGCTGGCATGTTTTCTTTATTTTGAAAGGAAATCAGTCAGGATTTCAAAACATGATTTGAATGAAGCTACTCGAAGGTCTTGGCTTGCCTGAAATCTCATAACCATAGCTCATTTCAGATGAAATTGAAGATTGCAGATATTGGGGCCTTCCAAGTTTAGGTGCTATACTTAGTGAAAAAATAAGAGATGGTGATATGCGAGTGTCACAGTGGTCTACATATCTTGGTTCACTAAACTGAAGTGCTGAATTAACTTACATGTAGATTCTGTTTGCAAGAGATAAATGTGATTTCACATAGAAGCAACTGCCCTCCTGTTTTTGTCATCATGATGCTAGACACAGAGCAGTAGAATGTGATTTTCTCAAGTTTCCCACACACTTTCTGTGAAATGCCAAGTTGGCTAGTAAAACTCAACAACTAGAGACCTGTGATGGAGGCACGTGAGGAAGCAGGAGTGCAGAACTCATGCTGGGTTTTTAATTTTAGGTCCCAAACTATGTGCCAAATCCATATTCAGCTCTTGAGCTCAGTTCTTAATGCAGTAGCCAAAGCCATACTAATTACCAAAACAACAATCCAGACTGGTCTCGGCCACATAGTGTTACCTGACGGATTTGTGTTCTTTATATCCTGGGGAGGGGGACCAGGAGAGGAGAGAAACCCCATCCAGACTACTGACAAGGAGACCGTACATCAAATCTTTAGGTCAGACAGTACAGTGGGGCCCCGCTAGATGATTACCCTGCAAAACGGGTAATCCACAGGACGATGACTTTTTGCGATCGCTATAGCGATTCGCAAAACGGTTTTCCTATGGGGGATTTTGCTGGACGATGATTTCACAGACTGTTTTTTGCAAGATGACTATTTTTACAGCTGATCGGTGCTTCTGTTTTTCGCAATACACCAATTTTACAGCTGATTGGTGCTTCACAAAATGGCAATACAGCGATTTTACAGCTGATTGGTGCTTCATAAAATGGCTTCCCTATGGGTGATTTTTGCTGGACAACAACGATTTTCCCCATTGGAATGCTTAAATGGATTTCAATGCATTCCAGTGGGGAAACGCTTTTAGCAAGATGATGTTTTCACAAAACAGCGATTTCAGTGGAACGAATTAACATCATCTTGCAGGGCATCCCTGTATTCATGTAATGTTTATTGCTTTAATTCATTTAAAACATAAGACAAAGGTATCAAGAGGCCCCTTTCACACTTCAAATGCACACCATACTCACACACACAACCAGACTCTTCCCTGATAAATGATCAGTCCTTTGGTAAGAGCGATGGAAGCAATGTTGCAGCGCTATTTCAAAGCCCACAGTCTCCTCCTGGGTCATCCTTCTTGTAGACAGCTTTCTTGTGGGCTGTGTCTATGGGCTGAACCTGGGTGGGCATAAGCAAGCAGGGGGCAGACCCCGATTTCCTGGGTACCAGTCTGTTGTTGCCATGCATGAATGCTTCTTGCACGTATACAGTTTGCTTCTTTTACCACAGACCTGCTTCCAGCCAGCGTGCTTCCCCTTCCTTGTCTGGACAAATAAGTCCAATTTAGAACTTCTGTCCACATATGCAGTTTCTTGCTGATATAGAAACTTCATCTCTTACAACTTTTTGTACATTTGTATCAGGCTTACCATCCCATCTTCCCTTGCAAGTCTCCATCTTTGTAGGCATGGGGTGCTGGTCTTTTTGGAACCCACACACTCTGTCACTCATAATAATAGCTGCTAGAAGAATAAAGAGAATAATGATAAACATTTTCCCTTCTTACTTGATTCTCATGCCTAGTGTGAGATAGTATGTTTCAACTTATAGGTTGTTGGTTTGACTTGAAACCATTTCACAGTTAAGGCACTGATACTTGATTGTCTGTGTTTACATTGTATTTTCCCCTGCAGGATTAATAACTGTGTTGGTGAAGATAACCACTGGCTGTTTTTGCAGTTATGTTTCTACACAGAGCTTCTCAGTTCTTACACACTGTTTCTTGATTTCTGCCACTGTTACTACTTTGAACCACTGAAGAAGGTTAATTGGGTAAGATCTTTTTATCTTTGAAAGAAGTAGATAAATGTTAATTCTGTGCAAATTTACTCTAATAATTAAAGCTTTTCTTTGTGTTTTATCTATTTTTGAGTGCTAATGTACAACTGTGAATCAGAGTGTTAATTTATAATGTATGAATCTTTCAGTGATTTGGTAAATAACTGATATAGTAATTAAAAGTTTTCATAAAAATGTTATGAAGTTGCTACAAAATCTATTAGAATTTTAAAGAAGGTGTTTAGATTATACAGAGATTATCCAGTTTAGGGTTGGCTATAATCCAAAGATCCATATGGTGAAATACACTACTAAATAATCTTTTTTAAATACACAAAGCTTGAGGACAGCTATGTAAATAATTCAGCATTGTTTTATATATACTGGTGTTAATTGTTTCCCATACACTGGGGTCTTGACTTACAAATTTAATCTGTATTGGGTGGGGTCTCGATTTACATATTTAATCTGTATTGGAAGGCAGTTCGCAGGTCGAAAGTTCGTATGTCGAATCTGCATTTCCCATAGGAATGCATTGAAAACCATTTAATCCGTATCGGCTCTTTTCTGTCCATAGAAACTAATGGGAAGCTGCTATTCCACCTTCTACCACTAGAGGGGGATATTTTTCTCTTTTTTTCCCTTAGGTTCAGGAAAGGAGGGGGAGGCAGGGAACCGTTTGCAAAGCACTTTTGAAATCTTTTTTCCCTAAGGATGCCAATTTTAAAGCATGTTTTAAAGCATGTTGTGCTGATTTTTTCAGCACAAAGACACACAGGCAGGACTCTGGAATTCACACCTTAGCCCTTTCTTTGCAAGCCAGAATGCCTGACCCACACAATTCTTCTGCAAAAACACAGACAGGCAGGATTCTGGAAGTCACACCTTAGCCCTTTCTTTGCAAGCCAGAATGCCTGACCCACACAATTCTTCTGCAAAAACACAGACAGGCAGGATTCTGGAAGTCACACCTTAGCCCTTTCTTTGCAAGCCAGAATGCCTGACCCACACAATTCTTCTGCAAAAACACAGACAGGCAGGACTCTGGAAGTCACACCTTACCCCTTTCTTTGCAAGCCAGCATTCTGACCCTGAGAATTCTTCAGCACAAAGACACAGGGGCAGGAGTGTGGAACTCACACCTTGCAGTGTGGAACTCACACCTTGATCCGGGCTTTGCAAGCAAGCCAGAATGCCTGACCCAGAGAACTCTTCAGCACAAAGACACACAGGCAGGATTTTGGAACCTCACACCTTGGGCCAGGCTTTGCAAGCCAAAATGCCTGACCCACAGAATTCTTCAGCACAAAGACACACAGCTCTTTTCCAACCAACCAAAGAGCAAAATTAAAAAGGCAGAAAAACGGAAAGCATTCATTTTGGAGTCTCAGACCACGTTTCCCCAAATCCACACAGCACAATTAAAAAGGTAGAGAAATGGAAAACATTCATTTAGGAGTCTCAGACCACGTTTCCCCAGATCCAAAGAGCACAATTAAAAAGGCAGAAAAACGGAGAGCATTTATTTAGGAGTCTCAGACCACGTTTCCCCAAATCCACACAGCACAATTAAAAAGGCAGAAAAACGGAAAGCATTCATTTTGGAGTCTTAACACCACATTTCCCCAAATCCAAAGAGCAGAATTAAAAAGGCAGAGAAACGGAAAGACCCATCAGAGCACAGAAACCCCCCCACCTAGCCCTAACCACCCCCACCAAGCTGCAAAAAGCCCATTACAATAAAGCAGAATAGTACAGTACAGTACTCACACAGAACAGGCAGCCTTTCTGCTTAAAAAAAAAAAACAGTCAAAAATAAAAAAATCAAAAATGAAAAAATCAAAAATCAAAACAAAAATCCAAAAAAATATACAGCCTGGTACTGGTAAGGCAGTACTGTACCAGCCAATACCAGTCAGTACTGTACCAGGCAGATTCGCTGAATACAGCACTGTAACCACTGGGACGAGCAAGGAAGCAGGCTACAGCACTGTTCTCTCTTCCCTGGCCAATGGACGAATGAAAGCAGTTCAAATCTGCCGCTTTCCCCGCCTCTCCCACCTTTTTTTGCCCTTATTTGGTCCTAGGCACCATTCTGTCTTCCCTGGCCAATGGACGAACAACAGCAAAGTTTGAATTTCCCGCTTTCCCCACTTCTCCTGCTTTTTTTTTTTCACTTTTCGGTTCGTACGTCGATTCTCCGTTCGCAAGTCGAAATGCATTTTTGCAGACAGAGAAGTACGTAACTCGAAAAGTTCGTAACTAGAACTGTTCGCAAGTCGAGACCCCACTGTATCAGTATTGGTGACATAGGTATGATTAGGGTCTTTAAATCTTAATTGCATACGTCATGGAACCCAGTTCATCTGCTTGAAAATAGACATATGAGCTTGTGTGCGGATGCACACATGTATGCATGTGCATGCACACGCACTGTATATAATGTATATAAGGTGTATGTATATAATGTGCTAGCCTGTAACAGTGTATGTAATGTCCCCACCAGATTATCTATTTAAATGTCAAAATATCAATGGTGAAACAATCTATCATTCTGGCAAGGTGGGGACATAAATGTTATGCAACAACTAGTAATAGCTAGCAGATTTCATCAACCCCACTGGATGTACAAACCTACCCCATTTGGCTTTTTTTATATTTTAAGCAAGGTGTGGTTAAAGAAAAAGCTATTTTTTCTGGTCCCTAAATTGCTGTTTGGGTGGTGTATGCTGAGAGTGCAGAGAGTTTGTCTCTTGACCATGCCTGTTGTTATTACATGGAGTACACTATATAGTGACAGAGCATGATTTTGATAACTCTTCCTGAATTAAAAAATCTAATCTGCTTGCATATTTGTCACATGGGGAAAATGTTTAATGCATTATGCTCCATTATGTTAACTGTTAATTGTTGACGCTAATGTTAGAAAATAAAGGACTGACAGAAACTATCATGGAATACTCTGGGTTAAACTGATTGTTCACCAGCACCACATTTTGTTATCTCCTTCAAAAGTGCACTTTGGGGAGTTTAAGTTGCCTTCCCCAACCTATCTCTTCCTACATATGTGCAAATCCAGCAATCCGCTTGATGGGAGTGGAAGAATTTGTAGTCCAAGACATTTGCGAAGTACTAGGTAGGGAAGGGTGTCCTTAAATCACAGTATCTAGTAATCTGTGCTATTAATGTGTGCTACTAATCTATTATATTTCCTCCCCTCTTAACCCTGACAATATGCTAACTCATCTTCCAAATTCTATGAATTTAGGACAGAATTAAATAAAACCTGAAAAATTCCTCTTAAGATGTGTCAAAAATGCCTAAATATTTCCTTCAAAAATAACTTAAAAATCCAGATAATATATTACTCACTACACACACAAAAATGACATTTGTGTTTGCTACATTTCTTTTGAAAAGTAAATTCCCAGTGCCCTTGTTACAAAGTAATTTGTGATAGGTACCTTTTATTTACTATATGTTTATATGTTGAGAAATAAGGTCTTCAGGAGGCATTGTGCATTTAACTGCAGAACACTTGTGATTGAGAACCACTGTAAGGTTGCCAATCATAGGAACTCTATAAACATATTCAGATGAATATGGTTTCAATACCTTCTGCGGACCTTTGTACAGTAATGCTGGATGCATGGGAAAATCCAGGTTTTGTGCATGCCTAGCACCCACTCAGCCCTAGAGCTTTCTATGATAAATATAAAAAGAAAAATCTCTGCACAAAGTGACTCTACTCCACCTACTGAAATCATCTGTGTAAACCTAATTATATTTCTGCAGGTCTGCTGAAGTTCACAAACATTTTTAAGGGGTTAAGGAGAATGGTATTCCAATTTTAGCAGTTAGATGCTTCAGTTGAAATAAGTAGGAGCACCTTCCACTGTGGCAAAATCCCTGTCTAGGTATTCAATAAAAGGATTGACACTACTTTGTCAACAGAGAAAGCCAGCTAGCCATGCCCACCTCCATTTTCTCTGTATCCAGAGAATTAAATTTTTATTGTGTTTGGATAGTAAATCTGAATAGCAGAAAAGCCTTTAAGCAGGCAGCATCTCCATACACAAGAAATCTGTTTTTCAGGGTTTCAGATTATATGGAAAGCCACTATACCTTGAATCTACTCTCCTATTGAGATTCAACCCTGTGCATAATTCTGTGAAGCAGGAGGGGTGGGACTAGACTGCTCTTTCTGCTCATGGGCCAAGATTAGTCCTCTTATTGAACATCTGAACAAGGCTAAAGTTTCCACTGGATAAAATTGAAAACATTTTCTGTAATTGTTGATCTAGTAAGCTCTTTGCTTTTTTGATTAATGATTACTCGTCCATGCTGTAGCTGGTTGAATAGCCTAGTGAGTTGGTTACTTGGCTGCAGAGCCAGAGGTTGCAAGTTGAGTTCCCAACTGTTCCTCCAAGGAAATAATTTTCTTTATATAATACTTACACATAAGGAATATTTTTCTTAGCTCTCTGTTGTTTCAATTTGGATAACTTGGTCAAAGTGTATTAAAAATATGGTTGATTACAGGTGTTCTGACTTAACTGTGACTTGTGTGAATGGAAGAGCACTGAAACTGTGTGTGCTGTGAAAAGTACAATTCTTATTATTTTGCTGAAGTACGACTATCCAGGCGTAGCCATTATGCCCAACTAGTTTTGCGTTTACAGAAGTGTTTTGTGTGGAACTATTTCAACTGGCTTTGGTAAAATGAAAGGATATTAAAACAAATTAATTGTTCTTAACATTGGATGTCATTTTATTTTTAGGAATAGTGCACATTTCCCTTAAAATACTGAATGTTTAGAAAAAAGTCCTGCTAGAAGTATTAAGGGTCATGCTAGTGATAACTAGAAGTACAATGTTTTGCCCAATTGGTAAAGAACAGGAAGTAGTAATTGTGGAGTAGTTGTTTGTGCTGCTGCTATATCAAGGTGTGACAGCCGTATTTCTCAGGCTCATTAAAACAGCCTTCATCTGGA